AAGCCCTAAAGCCCTAACCCCTAAGCCGAGGTACCTGATGCACAAGGTCTACGGATCTGTCAGACCTGGGTTCCTCCAGTCGCTCCTCACACTTGTCGGTGGCTGGGGGTTCTTGTTCCGGGTTTCGAGTTTAGGGTTTAGGGTTTAGGGTTTAGGGTTTAGGGATTTAGGGTTTAGGGTTTAGGGTTCAGGGTTTCGAGTTTAGGGTTTAGGGTTTAAGGTTTTCTAAACTGGTAGAACAAGGCAAGAGTGCCAATTTGTTGTAGATAACTTGATTAACTTAGTTTCAGTTCCTTAGCAAACACCTTTCTGGAGCACTTGTGAAGGTGGCTTTGTGGTGAGTACCCTGGTAATCTTCCTGGGCGTTGCTGCATTGGGAGCGCTCGAAGCGGTGGTCCTGACACTCTCTTTAAGGCACGCCACAAGAAAAGTTAAGAGTACCCACAGGATCAAGGGACTTCGTCAGTAGGGTTCCGGGTAGGGTAGCTCTAACTTTTTGATATACCCCCCAACAAAAGGTTCTTCTTAACCTAGTTCCTGCATTCCTTTATCCGCCAAGTTTAGTGAGCGCAAAGGCAGAGGCAGAGGAGGACACGCAGAAGGAGTAGGAGCATCCAGAGTAACAGAAAGTAGGAGCAGAAGGCAGGAGCAGGAGAGAGAAAGAAGAGACAGCAAATAATCGTCGTGGTGTAGTGGGATGGAGGAGTAGTAGAAGGAATACGTTCAAGCACGAAGGACGGCTTGCGGTTACGAGCGAGAAAGTCAGAGACTATTAGTAGCTATGGGAGTTTACAATGTTGACCATCGCGCTTCGGGTCGTTAGACAGAGACGTGTAGCTGCCCTTGGGACTATGACATCTTGCGCTGAAGGTGGTTGGTGGTGTTTCTCTTTCTCATGGGCCTGATTCTGGCAAACTTCTGCTTTCAATTCGCGCATGCTGAAATGAGATGCAGCTTGCGTCGTTGTAAATCCCTCTTGGGACTCAAAGGTTGACACGACCTTGCACGCCCTGCCGGGCAGTTTCAATCATCACTTCATCTCTACGGGCGCATGAGCAGAAGAACTCCGGCTTCGAGGGACGGTTCAGGGCTCGGGGGCTCTCAAGTGTTTAGGCTTTAGGGGTCTAGACTGTTTTGGGTTTGGGGTTAAAGGTTTTCTTTTAAATTAATTAGTTTATTATTACTACTTTATTATCTTATTTTTTATTTGTTATTATTATTATTATTTTATTATTATTATTATTTTATTATTATTATTATTATATAATTATATCTATTATTATTATATCTATTATTATTATTATTATTTATTATTATTATTATATAATTATATCTATTATTATTATATCTATTATTATTATTATTTATTATTATTATTATAATATTTTTTTTTGGGGGGGGTGGTTGTAAGGAGATCAGGGGTTCAGGGTTTAGGGTTTGGGGTTGCAGTTTGGGTTTTGAATCCTTTGTTCCAGTTTCTCGAGTAGTAAGGACCTCTACACGTAAGCCCTGAAGCTCAAGCTCTAAACCCTAGACTCAAAATACCAAGCCCCAAACTCTATATACCCGGGCGTGTGAATATGAGGTACACAAACTATGAAGGAAGCCACCGTCTTGGGATCAGAGCGGTGTAAGTACAGGACTGTCGGGTTGCAGGATCGGAAGCCTCGAAGTTTGTCGCTCAGAGGCTTGGGATTTAGGGTGGGCGTCGATGGAGACTATCCTGCATGAGCTTGGTACCCCAAGCTGTAGGAATTATTGTTTAGGTCTGTTACTCTTTATGGAGAATGCAGGATTTTCCCCTTCAGAAGTATTGTAGCTCATGAGCCGGTCCTGCTCATAATATAGAAGCCTGAATAAGTGCGAACACCATTCCTTAGGGTTCTTTACGTCACAAATGTTGCTGAACTGTGGTAGAACCCTACACTCTGTTGACTCTATTGTGATTGTTCTGCTGCCTCTATCTTTCAGCTTTATGCGACACAGTGGACCTTTTCGGCTCGGTAATTTCCAGTTTTACTTCACTGGCCAGTCAGATGGCAACTTGGTACGGTGACAGACTGTTTACATGAGCTTGTGCCGTTTGTGAGATGACAATCAAAAGCGCAGTCTAGAGTCTAGAGTCTAGAATCCCCTAAACCCTGAACCCTAAACCCTAAACCCCTTAGAGCATGATGGTGATGTGCGACTCTCTGCGCCGGACGATGTGCCAGAGCCAGCTGAATGCCAGGCAGGTGCTGCGGGATGTGTGGCAAGGGAGATTTTCGCCCTAAACCCCAAACCCTAAACCGTTGGGCA